TTGCTATGGTTTTAGAGCGCTCTACTTTTTGTTTGTAAATTCAGGAGATAGGTAATGGTACAAAACAGTTTCAGTTATTGAAATCAGCTCGTTCCAATTCTGCTGTCACGGAAAGATTCAGGAAATAATGGAGCGTCTGTTTATTCAATTTTTTTTGTACTTGTCTAGCTTTATTGCTTGCAGACAGCGCTGGGTGGGTTTTTGTTATTTCTTTAGGCACTTTTTAAACTTTCCTTTAACGGGTTTGTTTTCACGGTTTTACGACGCTCAATTGAAAAAGCTCCATCTTGAGCCTTACGATTTGCATTGAAAACATTAAAAAAAAATCTTTATTCTGATTGGCTCAGATAAATGTAGTTTTCAGGTAAAACAATACAGAAGAGATGTAATGCAAGGTCCTAGATGGGGTAGGGGGGAGGGGGAAGAGGGGACGGGGACTTCATACAGCTAAAATTAAAAATGTAGGCCAGCCAACAGTTAAACTTTCGCTCTAACAGTTTGATACATCAAACCTTGTTTTGTTCCCCCCCCCCCCCCCCCACCCCTTGCCTCCATTTATAGCACACTGGAATTTTCTAGACTACCGGAAGCATATTACTGAGTAAATAGGTGAATAAATAAATGAAATGTTTTCAAAGAACTGGTCAAAAGTAGCATTTGAACTAAAAATCATTTGATATTTTTGTATCTATTTTAGTGCTATGCCATGCATATAGTACATTCACTAATATTAGGAATTTACATTAGGCGAGTTATGATTTTAGGCTCTGCAAGAGTTTTGATCACTGACCAATGCAGTCCACGGCTATTTAACTGTGACATTGCCATGAGTAAGATTTTTGAATGCAGACCAGTTAAGAACAGAACCATGAGGTACGCTGCATTTGTGTACTGAGCGGCAAGGTCGCACCCTATGCGAAGCACCAGGGCATATGCGATTATCATTCTAGAAGACTTTCATAGGCGCACATTCAAAGTATTAGCGCTCGTCTTGTCAGCCTCTTAATGTTTGAAATTTCTTTGGGATCTTGAAACCTCGAAACTTCTTCTCAAGTGTCATGAATGACTTAGAACAGAGAAGAAAAGTTTTATGTTGTTAAGGCTGCTTACAATAAAACGAGTAACTGTCTTAACTTTATGGCAAACACCGGTCACCTAAAAATTTACATCTTATTTTAATGTTTCATCAAACAACTGAGTAAATAGGTGAATGAAAAAATGACATGTTTTCCAAATAACTGGCCAAAAGCAGCGTTTCAACGAAATATCTTCTCATGTTTTGGTATCTATTATAGTAATAAGCCATGCATATGGTACATTCACTAATATTAGGAATTTACATCACGCGAGTTATGATTTTAGGCTCCGCAAGAGTTTTGATCACTGACCAATGCAGTCCACGGCTCTTCAACTGCAACATTACCATGAGCTGCGTTAACTTTATGGCAGACACCGGTCACCTAAAATTTACCTCTTATTTCAATACATTTATCAAAAAACTAAGTAAATAGGTGAATAAATAAATGACTGAAGTATTTTCCAAGTAACTGGCTAACTAACAGCTTTGGTATCTATTTTAGTACTATGCCATGCATATGGTATATTCACTAATATTAGGTATTTACATAACGCGATTTATGCTTTTTGGCTCTGCAAGAGTTTTGATCACTGACCAATGTAGTTCACGGCTCTTCAACTGCAACATTGCCACGAGTAAGATTTTTGAATAAAGACCAGTTAATAACAGAACCATGAGGTACGCTGCAATTTATGTACTGAGCGGCAATGTCGCTTTCGGACAGAACTTTATCCCACATGTTGACACTTGCCAATCGGCCATGAAAGGTTTGGTTATGATCAAAGCCTCCGCCAATAGAGTCTTGCTCTTGTCCAAGCACCAGGAAGCCGCCAGCCTTAAGTGTGTAATTCTTAGTGGCATGATTCGTTACCTGTTCTGTAAATTGGCCATCTTTATAAAGTTTCATTACTCCTTGATTGTTTTCCCAGGTGAGACACAGGTGTTGCCAGGTATCATCGTAGAGATTTATCGAGGTAAAACTGAAAAAAAAAAAACAAAAAAAAAAAACAATAAACGAAACAAAACAAAACAAAACAAAACAAAACAAAACAAAAACAAGACTACATGCAAACAATATAAAATATATTTGATCATTCAAGACCTTCCTTTTTCATTGTCTCTAAGTTAGTCAAGAGAGTTATTCAGTCTGATAGTCCGTAGTCAGTCAGTTTATAGTATTATGTAAGTGGCCTGTCAGTCAGTCAATCAATCGTTTATCAATGACTTAATCATTCATACATTCAAGCTTCGATTTTTTCAGTGTTTTCATTCATTCAGGCAATTTCTTATTTATGCAATTACTTATAAAATAGAGACCTCACTCACTGTAGAATCTTTGTGGCTCAGCACGCGGAATCTGAAGGTCTGAGGTTCGATTCCTCAAGGGAACTCAGAATTTTTTTCTTTGTCTCACGCTCGTGACAAGACGAAAAACATCTTTCTCTACTTATAAAATGTTTAAATCAACGTATCACCTGAGCTTCTATTTTGAAAGCCGAGTCGGTTAAGAAACCTCATCCTTTTACGGCTAGAACCGTAATAAGCGAGTCCTCGTCACTTTAAAGACGACTGTTGAGCCCTATTGAGCAGAGTGATCTAAATCATATTTTAAAAAAGGATCCGAATATTTATATGCGATGCAACAGGAAAATACATCTAGATTTGTTTCGATCAAAGATTAACATATTTAGTATTTAAATCATCATAAAAAAGAGAAAAAAGCTTAACGCTTTCCTTTGTTTGTATGTTTAACTTTCTCTCTCCAGGCGTTTGGAAGAAGTCGATCGTAGCATTTCCTGTATAATAACTTATTGTGGCTCGAATAAGAAATTCTTCAACTGACTTCTAAAAAATACACGCAGCATTACCGGAACAAATTTTCGCCAACATAAAATCGTGTTGGTGTTGGAAGGATTTCGAAAATCATGTCATTGCTATCTTTACGGGCATAGCTGACGACTGTCTATGATAAGTAGAGAGAAAGAAGCCAAGGATTTTCGTTTGTTTGTATGTTCAATTTTCTCTCTCTCTCTAAGCATTAGGAAGAAGCCAATCGTAGCATTTCCTGTTACATGACTTATCATGACTCGAATAAAAAATTCCCCAACCGACTTCGAAAAAATATATGCAGCATTACCGGAACAACTTGAAGTCAACATAAAAATCTGTTCGTGTTGGATAAATTTCGACAGTCAGGTCATTGCTATCTTCACTGGCATAGCTGACGACTATCTGATCCCCTTGGTCTTGAACAAGTTTGATAAAAAAACACAACGACAACTGGCTGAGATCTGAAGTTATGGCTGGATTCTTCATGGCGTAATTTTCTGTAGAACGCAGCTCCGGAAACACCATAAGGTACTCTACAACAGAGGAAATGAATTGCACAAATTTTTAGACAGTTGTTTGAGCAACTGCGCTTGCTTTAATAAAAATTTCCTATTTAGAAGTATGCACTATTTGTAAAAATGTGTTAGCGTTCTTGAAGAATGCTGCACAGTGTTCAGTTGTAAGCAACATAGAATAAAAGTCAATCCCGTCTTGTTGCCAAGCTTTGAACGACCCGCAGTTCTACCCAGGTAACTTGTAATTTGCCCCCAGTTTCTTTGCAAGGTAGCTGGTTCGGGTGCGC